CTTGGGGTAAGGTTGGACACCCCTGCTCTAGGGTTTAACTCTTAACTCATTCTCACCTTTAAGTAGATCCGGGTCAATGTATCCCAGCACATCAGCCACTCCCAGCTCCTGGCGAGAACAAGTGCCTCCGTGTATCCGTAGCCAGGCGGGCTCCGCCAAGGCAGTACACAGAGCGGTTATGGAGAGGGCTCCGGGCAAGGCAGATGCCAGGCTCCTTTCGGGCTGCTTGGGCAAGGCACTCCCATCTTGCCCTCTTCGCCTTCGGCCACCTGGCAACACTGAGCCACTTGGGGTATACATTCGGGTGTCCAGCCAAATGAATCCAACGCCGCACCGAAACACTTGGGGTCTTCAGAGGTCGGCACTGCCGGTGCCGCTGGAGACTTAGCCAGGAGGCTAACAGAAGGCCTGCAGATAGGACATGATCATCAGAGGAAGGTTGGTCTCTGGACTCTGTTGAGGAAACAAAAAGAGACAACTGATGATGACAAGCATCATCATCATGACAAGATGGTGTTGTGGTTCTCCGGCAGCCGGTGCAGACGGCAGCGGAATCGGACAGTGGGAAAGAACGGGGACCAGTCAGGGAGTCTGGAGAGGACTCGGACGAGGGTCCTGCATCCGATGCAGAGATGGGGCCAGGGCCATCTGGGAGTGGGGTGCTGCCTCCGGAGCCTCCAGTCTGGAGCAGCGAGGCAGAGGACCCAGGGGAGCCTGTTCCCAGTGCGCATGTGCGCAGAGCTGCTAGAAGGCGAGAACAGCTGAAGCAGAAGGGGCGACTCGGGAATAAGGCTGGGAGGTGATTGCCCCTCCCCTAAGGGATAAAGGACAGGCAAAGGTAGAGAAACCTTTGCAGGAAGCAACTTTGTTTGTCCTGTTCTGATTAATCCTTGAAGCTCTGTGTGGACTTTGTACTTCAGTTGGTTTTTTATAATTCATTTGGCACTTTAGTTGTTAGCAGTACTCCAAAGGAGAGAAAGGTAGGTTGCTTATCTTGAGGGACTGTTTGGAACTCATTATGAGCTGGGAATGCACATAATTCCCAGCACTGAAATAAAACAAGAGTTTTTTGGACTAAGCGTGTGCTTAATTACAGTCTCTTGAAAGCCTTGGTCAGAACAGATGGGCAAGAAACTACTGTTTGTAATTGACCGTGGTATGGATGCATGAAAGTTCCTTTCTAACTATCAGAGTTTAATTGTTGGGCTGGAAAATGTTGTGGACATTTGCCCAGGTCAAGCAGAGGGGGGGGAGAAACAAAACAGCCATATTGGATCCCTCCCTTAAAGGCATGTGAAGATGTTTGGAATCTGAGTTGGCAAAAAAATATAAAGGATTACAATAATTCTCAGACCAAAGAAAGGGATTAAGCCCAACAGTCAACAAGGATCTTTTCTTTAAAGCAATGGGGATTCGATGCATTTCATGGTTCCATAAAACATCCCTTTTTTGTTTCAAAGCCACTAACGTATAAAAAGAACTTGACAAAGGCCACACATGTCACCAGACTGACAGCAATATGCGTAATACTCACAAGAGAATCAGTGAAGATACCAAATGCCGCCTGAGGAACATAAACAGGATGGGAGCTCTTACTATCCAAGCCACTGTATATTCACACACTCTTTCCTTGTCAGCAAAGCAATCTGCACCAACAGCATTATGCAGATTCCAGTTAACTGGGGGAGAAAAGGGGTTCATCCCATAGACCCCTAAGTGATAAGAAGCACCCCTTTCCTGAGCTACTCTTCAATAGCATTCTCACGTATCTTATCTAATTCCTGAACCAAATTACCTTTTAAAAGCACCTCTTTAAGGCCAAAGAAAATGGAATGAATTTACAACTGCAATTTAGCCGTATAGCTGAACAAGAATAACACGTCTTTGTCCATTTGCACTGACAATTTTTTTTCTCTACATGCTGCTTCCGCCACTGTTGTTTATCTTTTGGGTTCCAGCCAGGAATTCAAGATTCTTTGCAGGAGGCTGTTTTCTCTCTAGGTTTTTCCTAAGAAAAAGATGCTGTGGGCACAGACACCGCAATTTACCCTCAAGACTCTTTTTAACCTTGGTGCCTAGTGTGCACAATGGCTGGAGGATATTAGATTTTTAACGAGGAAACAAATTCAGGTCAGAAATAATTCAATCAAAGCTGGAGGCTTGCAGGGTTATTAAAAGGAGCAAAGTTCCCTCCGTAACCTCTTCCAGAATTGATTTCTACAAACAGCTCAATAATTAAAAAGAATGAAAAGAAGTCATACACGTTACTGAATTCAACCCATGCTCAGGGCAGGAATCCAAAAGTACAGGTAGTCCTCCACTTATGGCCACAATTGAGCACGACAGTTCCGCTGCTAAGCAAGGCAGCTGTTAAGTGAATTCTGCTCTATATATGACACCTTTCTTGCTGCAGTTGCTTGTCAGGTGGTCGCAAAAGGGTATAATCACATGACCCAGGAACACTGCGAGCGTCATAAATATGAGTCAGTGTCCTGACCCAAACCTGGTTCCACAAGAGCAAAAACAAGACAAAGGTACCAGCACAACCTTTTACTGTTTCATCTATGAATCCTGTTTTTTTCACAGATAAAAGGCTGCTTCCAACTAATTAGCTCCAACAAGGAAGAACCTTGCCAAGTTTTTTCAAGGCTGCCAAGAACAACAGATAAAGTTCCTAAACAATAAATCGAAGAGTCTCCAAACACCAACCCAGATATTTTAACATCCACCAGGCTCGAGTATCAAACTTCTTTGCCTTCTGCAAAGAACTCCGTTTCTCAGCTGGCTTTTATCTCTTCAGGGAGGGACCATCACCTTGCAGCCTTACCCCCGAGTCGCCCGTGTTGCTGCAGTTGCTCTTTCCTTCGGGCTCCTCGGGGGCCTCTTCCTCACTGCTGCCAGCCTCCACAATCTCCGAAGGCAGCATTCCACTCCTGATGGTCCAGGCCCCTCATCTAAGACCTCACTCTCCGAGGTCTCAGCCGTCCACACCTGCTGCCAGCGAACCACAACAGTCAATTGCCTAGCATCCGAATTTTGACATCACCATGGGGATGCTGCAAATGGTCATAAATGTGAAAAATGGTCACAAGTCACTTTTTCTAGTGCTGTTATGGTCACAAGTCACTTTTTCTAGTGCAGTCACTAAACAAATGGTTGTATGTCAAAGACTGCTTGTATTGCCAATATAAGGTTACTGGTCTTCGCTTAGCATGCCCAGCTTCAAACTTTCTGGATAATGGGCTGTACTATCAAACTGCTCTTATAATAATATCTGATTTACAACTATTCATTTAGCCAGAGTTTTGAATTTACAACGGCACTGGGGGAAAAGTGACCAATTTCAGCAGCTCGACATCACACGATTGTCTTTCACAAACGAAAACTTCCCAGCTGGTTTCTGAAAAGGGCTTGCTTAACAGCCCTGGGTTTCACTTAACCACCATTCTCTAAAATAATCTGTGCCTGGAAAAACACAAGCAGGACAGGAAGGGAATAAAAGGTTGCGGCGAAGCAGTTGTTCAAATCCAAACTGAACAACTCTATAGTGGAGCCTTTAAGAGGCCAGTGTGTGAGTGTCTTTCCCACACTCAAATGTCCCTTTTCCAGCATTCTCTGACCATGTATTTTTTTTTCTCTCTCGCCCATTTTCTCTGGCTGCCCTGAAGTCCAATTCAAGGATTGGCCCAAGCAAAGAAGTGACTCTCGAGTTACAGGTTACCTTTACTGCCTCCCATATAATATAAATGATGGGCGTTTATGACCCTGCAGTGCTGGCAAGGGTTCTTTTATTTATTTATTTATTTTTTTGAATTTGGTTCCTGGTATTTCCTCCCTGTCGTTGTTCCCTGCATTTCAGCTGGTATCATTTACTGTTATCTGATTTACTTGTTTTAGTAAGTCGTATGTGAGAGTCAAAGGGTGACCAAGGAGGCATCTCAAACTAGATGACTAGCAACTTTTGTGACGGGTGTGTACACACACACATACACTACACACACACTATAACTTTTGTGATATGTATATGTATGAGAGTATGTGTGTGTGTGTGTGTGTACATACACACTACACGCATATACATACA